CCATATCCGAATAAATCAAATATTTTTATTTATTTAAACCTTTATCTTCATGGAGGTAAAATGCATACATACGTGTTTCCATTCAAATGAATGGATGCACATAAACGGATAAAATTGTCATCTCAATCTCAATTCATCATTAATTTATCACAGTGAATGCGTCTATGCATGCAACCACTCGAACATTTTTTATTTTTTATCCCTAATGATATTAAACATATTTCACCCGGGATTTGATATTAAACATTTGTTTAAAAAACAATATGAAAATTTTGATTCATCTCTATTCGTTTTTTAACCAATAATTTTATTAAAAAATTAAATATAAAAACTTTTCAAATGTTGTTTTTTTATAAAACAAAAGGTCTAATAATAAATTAAAAGGTTTATATATATATATATATAACAATGTGTTTAGGTGTTTATTCAATTCAACTCAGTGCAGGTCGTTTTAATTTTTTTAATATAAAAAGTTAATTTATAGTTACTATTACATGTTTTTTTAACTTAAAATAAAGATATAATTATGAATCAAAATGTCTATACTTATATATAATAAATTTTAGTGAAAATTATATATATAAAAATATAAAAAATCTCAATCTAATTTTTAACATATCAGAAAAAAGTAACAGTGTTTTAATTTGCAACAATGAAATATTTTTTTGGATATATTTTTTAAGTATATACAATTGGTAAAAATTTTAATTATATTATTTCTACATGAAAATATTATTTTCTTCTTTTATTATATGTATAATTATATAATAGAATTTCAATATATATATATATATATGTTTTTATTAGTGTATTCAGATTTAATAATTTAACCAGCATAAATACTTTATAAAAAACAAATTCTAGACTACCGAAATGTTTTACTTTTTTTTTATATATAATTTAGAGTATTCAGGTTAATTTATATATATCATAATTAATTTTTAAATTTATTGAACATCTTATAAATCTAATAAACAGCTAAAATACAGCAATATGATAGGAATGTATATAAAACTTTCAAACTTAGGGTGGAGAGAAACAAGAAATTTTCTATTAAATATTCTACTAGGGTGGCTGAGTAGGACTCCTGATATGAAGTCATGTGTTGGAATTCTAAATACACCCGCATGATTTTCATAGGGATCATTCAAAAACATTTTGTCTCTTCTTATGAATCAGCTAAGATAATAATTTATAATAAAATGAAAAGAGTCAAAGATGTTTTTTTATTTTTTAAAAATTATTTTTGACATCAGCACATCAAAATGATTTGAAAACATTAAAAACATATTAATTTGAAGTTAATAAAAAAATAAAAAAATTTCAAATTTTTTAAAAAATGCTTTTAAAACGTAGAAACAAACTGAATCTAAATACACCCGCATGATTTTCACAGGGATCATTCAAAAACATTTTGTCTCTTCCTATGAATCAGCTAAGATAATAATTTATAATAAAATGAAAAGAGTCAAAGCGATTAGCCATATAACTAACATGTACGATTAGCCAGCCTTAACCCTTCCATCCAGAAAACGTTAAAGCTGCCTCTAGAGTTGACTGGTCAACTTACTGTATCCCGGCTATACAAGTTCATCTGATATCATAGAAAAATAAAAATTATGTTAGAGTATTTAATATTTCACATAAATTCATGTGGATATAAATTATAAAAAAGTAAAATATAAAATGTAATATAGTTATTTTATATTAAAAAGTTAAAAACAATTCAGATAAATGAGCTTAATTATTTATAAAATAATTTTAAAATTTAATTAAAAATAGAAAAAATGAAAAACATTCTAAGATCGTCAGGATGATTAAGCTTTTAACTCCAAGTCAACAATTCCCAGATATTTTTTTCCCATGGAATCACCATATATTGGCAAATCAATTTTGATGCTCTCCCTTACTATTAGTAAGGAAAATAAATCTTCTTAGAACAAAATTCCAGAAATAATACAGGGATTTCAAATCAACTGACAAATTAAGAACAATCTCACGGTTTATTTTAGCATCCTAGAGAAATGACAGTGCCTAGTGAATCACGTAACTTAACAAGGAAGGTACAGTCATTCGCTCACTCTGTGTCAAGTAATCAGGCCTGCATGCGGGTTTTCTTTTCTTTTCTTTTTTTAAAAAAAAAAACAATAAGACTGTCGTTTTGGTAAAATAACATGGGTTATAAATGAATATAGAAAACAACATAGTTTTAATATATTTGCGAATTTGGATATTTGTTTTGTAACAACTGCTATTTTTCATAGCAGTTGCGTACTCACAAATTAAATTTGCATGTATTATACAAATTAATTAATACATACACAAATTAATATAAAGATTTAATAGTTAAAATATGATATTCAAGTCCACTGGTAAAGTAATAAAAAGATAAATAAGCTGATGTGGCATAAAAAGGTAAAGAAAAAAAAAGTAGAGAAAAAAGAATAAGTCATTGAAGATATTTGATTTTTTTTATACATCTAATATCATTAAAAAAATATTAATTAGATGATTTTAATAACACTATGAAATAAAATCATGATTAGTTAATAATTTTATCTTAGATTAAGATATTTTAGGATTTTATTAACCCCAAACAAGACTATTAGCTAATTATAACCTTGTTGGGTAGTTTTTCATAATACAATTAAAATTTTATTATCTAGATTTTTTTAATAGTATTGAATGTGTAAAAAACAGAATCTCAATATGTCTTTAATAACTCATTTTTTTCTTTCTATTCTTTTATTTAATTATTTCTCTCTCATACCTTATAGTTTATATTCTCTCATTTCTCTCTTATATTCCCTTTTGTTCGTGATTATTGAATCTTAAAAATCATAAATTGAACATTGTATTTTTATAGAATTTTATGTTGATTTCTATGCATGTAAATTAATTTCATTTTTTATTTGTTGAGTTAACGACAGTTATTTTCAATAGTGTTATTTATAGAATCAATATTCAAAATCACGGTTACGTTAAAACTATATTTTTTTTCAAATACTTTTCTATTATGTTATTTTTCCTATACTTTTACCGACTGTGCTAAAATGATAAAATACCCCCTGAATGCATGCTTCTTAGCAGAATTTATGGCCATGGTTTAGCAGTTCTTAGTAAGAATACATGCAGCCACCTGTTGTCTATCTTAACCATCTGTCTCTTGGACTTATTCTTATGCCGTGCCAATTTCAATAGCCACTAAGTTATTTAGCAATGCTAAGTTAAACACCCTATTTTCATGCTTCATTAACTTTAATTACGTCACCTTTTTTTGGCAAGTTGAAAAATACATTCCCTGCACTCCAAGCTATCCGTTCAGCTTTCAACCTTTTGACCCTGACTAGTTGGGTCAAGTTTCAATTTCTAGATGAAATTAAACCCTTGTAGAGTTGGCTCACTAGTTTTGTTCTCCGTCTATGATCTTCATCTACAATTTCTTTCTCTTCTTCAGAAGAACAAAATTCTTAAACCCAAATGTGAAAAACTAATGTAATTTTATCCCTTTTCTTTCTCTCTTTAAATCAATTAAGATACTCATCAAAAAATGGAATCGAACCACCACCATTTCATTCCCATATAGAAACCCGAAAGATACGCCCTCCATGGCAATGACAGTCTTGCGGCGAGCATGCTCAGGGTAGGTCACAACATCTCATATCTTGTAACATTCTCAAGGAAGTGCTTGAGAATACCACTAGTCTCTTCATAGATCAAACCACTGATACGCTTGACTCCACCCCTATGAGCAAGACAACATATTACAGGCTTTGTGATATCTTGAATGTTATCACGAACATGCTTGGCTCCTCCTTTTCCTAGACCATCGCCTCCCTTTCCACATCCGTACATTTTCTTCAGTTAATGAGACGATCTATAGGGAAAACCCAGGGAAAAACTAGTTACCATTAAAATATATGAGAAATTGAAATAATTTTGAGGTGGGGTTGACGTAAATTTTTTTATACTCTCAGGAGTCAATTTCGAGGGGATGGCATAATTGTTAGGCAACCATTGATTATGATTTCTTTAGGTTTCTATGTTGTTATAGATCTCGGTTTTGAGTTAGGGAGGGTTTTTTCTATTATTAAATGAAAAACAATGAAATCATATAAATAATCACATAATTTTTGTTGAATTTTTTTAGTGATAATATTAAGTATTAACGTGTATGTTAAGTTTATGATATACAATATAATTTTTCAAATTATAATAAGTAGTTAAAAATGGAATCAAACTTAAAAATACTTAGGGTAATTTTTGGATAACCAAGACCGGTCCAATATACAGTCAGCTTAATATTACATGAAAATATAGAAATATCGCTTTAAAAAATACATATATTTACACACATGCTCCTGGGTCACCCGGTCTTATTTTATTTTCTAGAGTCTCGTAACAAACACTTGCAATTCCTTCATATTTTTTATGCATCGCGTTAAAAAAAAAATGGCCCGCAGCAAAACGCGGCACTGCTGCCTAGTGCCAAGCTAAGAGGCTTACTCCTTGTGTATAAATAAAATAAAAAAAAAAAGGAAAAAGAGATTTATTCACTTTTCCTCTCAATCAACTTTAATTAGATTTGGAAAGTTATTAAATGTAAATCAGATGCAGTTTCAAGGCTATTCAAGTGATTAACTAAACGCCATCTCTCCTTCCCACCCTCTCTGGTAATAGATCAGCAGATCTGTTAAGAAGAAGCTTGAAACTGTTTCAGACAGAGACAGAGAAGCAGCAAGAAAATGCTGAGAGAGAGAGGAAAAAAGAAAAGAAAAGAATTATCATGAAATGAAACAGTTCCATAGGCAGAATTTATTGATATATTACAAAAAAAAAAAAGAGGTTAAATAAAGGTCTATGATCAAACTTTCTCCGAAAATGACTATTTTCAAGTTAAGAAAATGACCTGTGAAACAGCTGGAACTTTGAATAGAAACAGCCATCAGTAGTTACAACGACGCGTTGCACTTCATCAAAACAAAAATAAACACTAAGAATAACAAAACCCAGAATTTGTAACACTAAATTATAAGAAAAAGAACAGCTTAGTTTATGTAAAAACTATTCAGTTTCCTCCATTCGTGGATGCTGATTTAACTCATCATCAGTTCGTTACAGAAACAGAACAGGAAGACAGTACAAAATAAAATAAAATGAATCACTGTAAGAAATAGTCTTGAGATTAACAAGAACCATGTAACTCAATTGACCCAAGCAAATTTGCATAGTTTTAGATCCTGCAAAAAAGTGAAAGTAGTAAAAAACTTCTTCCTTCTTTGGATCAAACCCGTTTCTTGTGTAGACCATACTAAGATTAAGCAAGATATTCACCGTTTGACGTAGTTAATAAATTCTGCATCAGACACAGCAGAGAGCTGATCAACTTGGCTAATATCATCATCATCAAGGGGAGCCGGAAGATTAAGATCTATGAAACCCCAATTATTGTCTCCGATCTTTGTGGCACTTCTCGCAGGAGTACTTGAAGAAGCTGCTACACCGATTAAATGAGATCTTTTGTGGCCACCAAGAGCTTGCCCGGATGAAAATACTCTAAAACAATACGGACATTCATGGGTTTTCTTCTCTGGCAAAGAAGTAGAGGCACCTGCATTTTCTGTTGGCTCCAATTTTGGTGCCTTACTTGGTGTATAAACCTTGAGTTTCTTGTGACTTGCTCTATGACCACCTAAAGCTTGATAGGATTTAAACACCTTGTTGCATGTTTCACATTTGTACTTTCCTCTAGTTTTTGTCTTGCAAGATTTGAACTCATCAGAATCGTCTGTTTCAGCTTCTGCTAATTCCTCTTCAAATTCCTGTTCTTCTTCTTGATTCTCCTGTTCTTTTCTCTTCCATTTGTCTCTTGAAAGCATCACAAGACAGAAAGCAACATCTTCTTCTGTTGTAGTGCCAGAAATTGAACTCACCGGTTCGGGTTCATGACCCCACGATGACTCGGCTGCTGCCTTAATACTGCCCATTTTCTTGAATTCAAGCTTCTTTATTATGATGTTGTTCTCTTGCTCTTGCCTGGGTCTTTGTTGATGATATTGATGATGATGCTCTAACAAGCTCTTAGTCCTCTTGGATCGTCTTCTTGTAGGATTCTTTGATGACTCGGTCTCACTTTCTCTATCTTGAAGAACAACAGAACCAGCATCAACAGCTGCAAAAGAGAACTCGGGATCTGCCAAGCGAGTACATCTTTTTGGGTTCTCTCTTAGCCCATAAAAAACAGCCTTCTCTTCTTCTTCTTCTCCTTCTTCCGCTTCTTCCTCTGAAGATGAAGTTGATTCACTATCTTCACTAACTTCAATATCTGGGAATTGATCTTCTAGTTTTGGAGGAATTGGAAGATTCAACATGTGAGACCTCATATGACCACCTAAAGCTCTGCCATTAGAGAAACTTTTGAAGCACAATTTGCACTTGTGCTTCTCCATCAACTTGAAAACAGAGCAAAAGAAACAGAGATAAAAAAAAACAGAGAGATTTTCCTTCTTTGTGAAAAAGTTTGTGACTTGAGGAGTTTTGTTTTTCTATAGGGGAAAGAGTGGAAACTAAAAGGAGTAGGTGACAAGCATTCCTCCACCAAGAGAGATATATACAAAGAAAAAAAGAAAGATCGAAATGTTTTGTTTTTTTCAATTAATTTGTTTTTGATTTTTCGAGAGGAGTAATTGATTTTCTTCAAAACGTTATAAATTAAAAAAAATTAAATACACCTTAATTAAAGCTTTTGCACGAAGGGATAGAAAGAGGGACATGTAACATGCGAGGCTTGCCCGTTTCTGAATTTATTCCCAACCATTCTTCTTTGAACCTTCACCTCTCGTTTCTTTCCTAACTTGCCCTTTCTACCTAATATTATTTTAAATGGAAAAATAATTTGTTACAGTGTACAATGGGAATGAAAAAAACAAAATAATATATTCATAAATTTTTTCTTGGTCATGAACTTCAATTTCTCTAATTTTATCGCTAAAATCCTCACTTTCTTACATACACATTAAAAAAAAAAAAAAACTTTGCATTTTCATCGAAGATCTTGTAAGAATCCATGTTTTGAGTTTCTATAACAATATACAAACTCAATGTAGGTTCTGGAGACATAAGAAGCAAACCATAGTTCTGTCCAAAAAACCAAGAAGAAGGGTTTGGGTTAACAAATTATTTAAGAATTAAGAGTTGGAATGGGAAACAAAATCGTCCAAAATTAGATTTATGTTACTTTCAACTCTGGAAATGAATCCCCGAGATTTAAAACAATTAATGGCAAATTACTTGTACCGGTCAAGAAAATTGCTTATTCTGTTTATATATATATATGACCCCATTATCTTTAACACGCTCACGCTGTGATATTTGACATGTAACAAGCGATTAAGACCCTTCACGAATAAATTTCTTCATAAAATCACCAAATCCCATATTTAATAATTCAAATAGTGTGGTATGATCACTAGGTTTGGTAATTAAATCCAATAAATACTGAATTGGAAATTACGTGTCCTGCTTTATTAGCTGCCCCTTGTTTTTCGAGAGTTGATTTTATTATTATTATTATTTATAAAGAGTAAAATGTGTGCTTATTCAAATTGGGTGGGGTTTAACTTTTCTTTGGGAACCTTTCCTTTAAATTTGGATCTATTGTTGAAATGTCTCGATGGGAAAAACAAATGAAGGGTGGGAAATGAGCAATAAGGAAACTAACTTGTTCCCTGTCCTTCGAGAGAGGAGTTTTCCATGGGAAAGTAGTAAATGCCGTTTGGTTAGGGGTTGGGAGACCCGGTCCTCCCACTCCTGAGTACCACCCGTTTCTTCCTACAAAACGCGGTCCATGTGGTAACTCCCAGTTTATACGTTCTTTGGAACAGAAATGGTGTCTCCTCAAGATAGTACATGCATTAGATTATTTGCTTGTGCCATAGGCTCATGTTAATATATATATATATATTCTAGTAGAAAATAATATTGAAACCTTGTGAGAATTGTCCTTTTATAGCCTAGTCAACTTGACAAGTCCAAAGATAAATCGAACAACCAGTAATAATATAGTTTGTAGAGTTTTTAAACTCAGCCCAGTGATCGACCTAACCCAAGGCTCGGGTCACCGGATTTTGATCGGGTCAATCCTAATTTTTTTAATAAATCAAAACGATATCATTTTGGTTAAAAAATAGTCAATAAGTTGTAACTGGATTTTTTACCGGATTGAAACCGGGTCAACCGAGTTTTTGACTTTCTTTATTTTTTCTTAAACTTGACCCGGTTCCAGTATCAGGTCAGTTGGGTCCCGGGTTGACCTGTCGGGTCGGGACAATGGATTTTAAAAATATGAGAGTTTGACTCAAGATAAATACTCAATATAATATTTATTTTTATAAGTATTAAGACGACAACATATTTGATCAATTTGGGTTAACTTGTCAATCCACATGTCAGGTCATGAAACTATGATAACCCAATAGAAAGTAAATCAAAATAAATTGTGAAGCACAACTTTTAATAAATGCAATGTTAAAGAATGAAATTGAAGGAAATTTTTTTTAAAAAAAAAGACCAAAAAGTAACATGTGTTGAACCAAGCTAACATGACAAACTCGTGACTCGAATTATAAAATCGGGATAACCTAATAGAAAATAAATTGAAATAAATTATGAATTTCAATTCTCAAAGATGAAATTGAAAAAAATTGATGAAAAAAGAGAAAATAAAAAACAACTCGAGTTAATTTGAGTTAATCCATCAAATTTGTGACTCAGTTATAAGATAAGAATAATTTCATAGAAAGCAAGTTGAAATAAAACATAAGATCTAATTCTCAATCAATATAATGTTAAAAGATAAAATTTAAAAAAATCAATTAGGAAATGAAAAAAAAAACTTGAGACAATAGAGTTAATTTGTCAAATCTTCAGTCCGGACAATGAGAATTAGATAATCTCATAAAAAATAAATTGAAATAAATTATAAACCTCAATCCTCAATAACTCTAATGTTGAATGATGAAAATAAAATTTACAAATCGATTGAAAAGGATAAAAAAAAGACTCAAATAAAGCTATTAATTAGATTGGAAAAAAAAACATATATGTGTGTGTGTGTGAGAGAGAGAGAGAGAGAGAGAGTAAAACCCCCTTCCTCTTGTAGTTTTTGTTAATGAAATTAAAAATTAAAATTAAAAAGTAAATTAAAAAGATTAAGAGGAGGGGCACAATATTCTAAAGGAAAATACATAAATTTCCTTGCACACCCCTCTCTTCTTCTTTTTGGCTTATAGGGTAAGTTCCATAATTTACTGTGCAATTAAATTTAAAACACCAAAAATACCTCCAAGTGATAGGTGTATGTCATTTTGCTTTTAATGGTAAAAAAACCATTAAACTTTGTCAAAAAAATATATGAAAACTAATATGCTCCCTCAATTAATTTAGCAATGTCAAGTATCCCTTTAAAAAATATTTTCAAAAGCAGTAATTACTCAAAAAAACATATACATCATAATAATATTCCACTTTATAGTGTTACAAGTCTAAAGCCACCTTTAAAGTATGATGGCTTTTATTTTTAATTTTTTGTAATTATTAATAAATTTATCATATGCGAAATGATTTTATTAGCTAGATTAAATCTTCAAAAAAAAAAATACCTTTTTAACCATGCAAAAAACACAGTATTTTTACATAATGGAGCCTCATCAGTGCATTTGATTTTGCTCTTGTTTGATATTGGAACGAACTTGTAAGAAATTTTGAAGAAGAAGAAGAAGAAGAAGACAAGTAGCAAAAGATTATTTACTTTATTTAACAATGTCAACATATATTCATTAATTAGGATAGCATGATACGAGTTTAAACACCAAGTAAAATAACAACTCCATGTTTGAATGTATCATTAGTGTGGACATGACGACATGTCGCCATCTCACAAAACTATGGTGCAGATGTGAGATATTAGTGATTTTACCGCCACAGCGATTTTTAATTCAATTTGTATATTTTATAAGTGGATATATCAATATGTATGTTGATATATTAAATATTATATCGATATTATAGTCAATGTGTTAGCATATCCATTAGTATGGGTATATATTAATGAACGTGGAAATCTGTATCCTGGTTGTTGTTCGTTACAAGTCAAACTTTTAAAAGCTAAGAATATTATAATTATAAAATAATATTTAAATTATTTAATTTTTATTCATATAAATCTCGTTGGCCATGAAAATATACAACTTTTTATATAGAAAAAAAATTATTAATAGTTAATAAAAAAAATTCTCTTCAAATAGAAAAACTAGAAAAGACTAATAATACTAAATAAAAAAAATCCTAAGGTAAAAAAGAAGAAATAATAATAATTAAATAATATTTATTTTCTCAAAAAACTCCTACATTAATCTTCTTATGTTAACATAAATTCATCGTGGAGTTCAAAGGAGCATAACCTTCTTAATTAGAAACTCAATCATCCTTTCATATTATCATAACTTGATTTTTGATCCCTTTTAAAAGGATATTTATTTACATAATAACTTTTGTTTTTAAAGCAAACCACATAACTAATATTTTTAGTTAATATTAAAATTTAATTTAATGTTTATGGAATCTAGTTATATTTACATTGAAAACAAAAGTTTATCAAAAGCAGCTTCAAACTTCTTCTCCCCCCTTCTTTTATTGTCTTGATTCACTCTCTACTATTTATTTTTACAAAAATAAATAATGGAGACTGACTTTACTGTCCATATCCGAATCAAGTCCGGTCCACACTTCAATGTATTGAATCGGGTTCGACTAATTAAAAAATTTAATTTTTATTTTTATTTTTATCTATTGTCCATATCCGAATCAAGTCCGATCCACACTTCAATGTATTGAATCGGGTTTGACCAATTAAAAAATTTTATTTTTATTTTTATTTTTAATCATGTTTTATTTTAAAAAAAAGTAGTGTTTAACATTATTCAATGACACTGTATAAATCAGAAGAAGATCACATGATGACGTAACATTTGAAGAATTTAATCGCAATTTCAATTTTGTTTCTGATGATATTTTACTTAATATTGTTGCATGATCATGAAAAAAGCAATTATTATCGAATAAATCTCGTAAATGATGAAATTATAGATAGTTTAATGGAATAATAAAAAATATTTTATATAAAGTATTATTTATTTTATAATGTAATAGTAGTAGCTAAATATATAATATTTAAATTAAAAACCATCAATATATATATATATATAGTTATTTTATAACCTCAATTTAAAAGCATTCCAACCAAACACATTAAATTACTTTTATTTCAACATCAATTTCAGTCATATTTTTAACCAAACATATATAAATATCAAACCAACCTCAACCAAAAGTGTTTTTTATAAAATAACTTTTTCAAATCACAACTACAAAAGCTACTACCACTTTTTTTTCTAGATTTTTACACACTTCTTCATCTTATTTTTAGTGTTTTTCTTCTCTTTTCATGCCTTGTGTTTCCTCTCAAATATAAATCTTAAGTTCACTTTATTGAGAGATAATTAAGTTTTTTTATT